GGGGCCAGCTGCAGCCGCTTCCTCCTGGCCAGCCCCGCCAGGAACCGGGGAGCCCCCGGGGGCTCGGAGCCCCCCGCCGGGGGCCCAGAGCCCCCGGCTGCGGCGAGGCGAGGGGAACCAAGCGGCGGACAGAGCCCCGGGGCTCGCAGGGGCTCACACCGGGACGCCTGGGTGCTGGATGCCGGGCTCCAGCCGGGAACTCCTTGGGAACCTCCCAGCTTTACCAAGGGCGAAGTCCCGGCACATCAAAGGCAGGCGGGGGCAGCAGGAACCAGGGCAGGAGCCTTTGGTCCCTGCCAGCGCCCAGCTCTGCCGCCCCACGGTGCTCCCACCGCCCCACGCCAGGGTCCTGTGCCGGCACACCTGGGTCCGGGGCTGTGCCCCCCCGCGGCGTGGCACCCAGCCCATCGCTGTGGCAACCGCCACCAGCTCCGGGTGTATTTTCTGCACCGGGGCCGCCGTGGGAACCTGGACAGGCGCCACCTCATTCCGCTCGGGCTCTCTGGGCCGCCTTTGTAGCCAGCGTCGAGCCCAGCTGGCAGCCGCACGAGGGCTGCGCCTGCGGCCCCCGGGGCCACCGAGCCCCTGCCAAGGCACCTGGGACCCCAGGGCAACGCGCCGCCCCCACTGCCCCTCGCCTGACCCCCGCAGCGCCGCGGGGGGACGCCCACAAGGGTGGCATCCCTGAGCAGCACAGGGCAGCGGCAGGGTCTGGGACTCCTCTGTCCCATCCCTGCTCTCCCCAGCCTGTAAGTGGCCTTCCCCATCCGTGCCTCAGTTTCCCCAAGAGAGAACCTGCCCCGGGCCAAGGGTTTGCCGCGTTCGCCAGCACAGCGCTCCGAGGCTGTTGGCCCGGGAGCGGCATGACAAGCACCGTCGTGCTGGCTACAACACCCGCCCTCTGCAACGCCCGTCGGCACTCGCTCCTGTGCCCGGATTTGGGGGTGAGGCCAGGGAGGCCGGCGGGGCGACGTCTCCCCACGGCTCCACCGCCATCTGCCGGCAAATCACCCCAGAAATGGGCCGGGACCGAGGAGCCACGGCTGGGCCAGATCCTGTGCGCCGCTGTGCCCCGAGCCCAGGACCCCCGCTCTGCCTGCCCTGCCCGCCGGGATTTTCCCGGAGCTCTGCCACGCTCCCACCACGGGGGCCACGTGCGTGGGAGGTCAGCGGAAGAGGAGCATTTTCCAGTGCTGGAAACGCAGAGGAAAAAGGTTGCAGGACGGAACGATTAACGCAGCGCGGGTTAATCATTACAGCAGCGCTCCCCCCAGAGAAGGAAGTTGCGAGGATACGGCCTTCGAGCCACCCAAGGGCAACGTGGCCCAAGGACACGGCCGGGCTGGCAGCGTGCAGAGCCTCTGCTGACCTTCCCACGCCGGGACCGGGGCTGCGGGCAGCAGCCCATGGCCGCAGGGGCCGGGGAGGGGTCCTGGCCGGAGCCAGCTCTGCACCTGGGTGCCGTGAAGCCTTGGCGGGCACAGGCGGGGTGCTGCCCAGCGCCGAGGCTCCCCGAGCTCCGCGCTCAGCCCCCCGGGCAGTGGGTGCAGGGACGAGGGGTGGGGGGCGGCCCTCGCAGCCCCGGCCCCGATGTCGCAACGGGGGCACCGAGGACGCGGGGCAAAAGCAGGGCGGCTGCGAGAGGCCAGGCGGGATCCCGAGCACCGCGGGTTTGGGCAGGGAGAGGGGCGGCTCTGCCAGATGAGTCAGTCCAGCCGGGGAATCCTGGGGCTGCAGTGGGGTTTGGGTTTGGTTTTTTTCCCTGCAGAGAGACAAGAGCTCGAACCTTTCCCCTGCATTTGGGATCTGGGTGGGACGGTGGAAATGCCATGTGGCCGAGCACGGGGAGGGGACGCCAGCGCCAGGAGATTCAGCCCAGCCCCTCTCGGAAATCGGCCCCCAAGAGAAGAGACGCCGCCGGCAGAAACAGTGATGCTTCACTTTCTGAGCGCTCCCGGCCCGGCTCCCCACCCTCCATCTGGCAGCAGAAGATGCAAGTCATGGGCAAAAGCCCTGGGTGGAAAGGAAGGAGGAGGGCGACGCGCCGGCCCCTCGCCCTGCTCACGCCATTTTCCAGGCAGCCCTTCCCTCCTGCGCGTTAACGTTTCCCTCTCACGCCCACCCCGCCCCGCCGCCCTCGAAAGCCGGAGACAAACAGATCCCAGGCTCCCCGTAAAAACTCCGCCGCTGCTCCCAGCCGCTGCGGCCCGCGGCTCCCTGCCCAGAGCGGGGACCGAAGCACAGGGCCAAGGTGCTGCCCCAGCACCCGCTGCCCCAAAAGGCGGCGGGGAAAGACCTCTCACCCCAGCCGCGGCTGCGGTCCCTGAGGGCACGTGCCAGCGTGCCAGGGACAGCTGAGCGCCGTGCCGGTGCTGCCGCCTGCCCGAGTGAGGCCGGTTTGGGGAGGAGAGGAGGGAGGATTCATGGCTGAATCACATCAGCTGTACAGGCATGGTCCACGCCGGGGCTTGACGCCCACCTCCCCGCCTGCCCTCGGCCGCGTCCATCCCCGCAGCATCGATGCCGAGCCGGGAGCGGGGAAGGGCCTCGCCTCCGGTTCAGCCACAGCCACACATCTCCTGTGCCAAGCAGAGAGTCAGAGACCATTTTCGTGGCATCCAGCGGGACGTGACTGATGGCGGCTCCCGGCGTGGGCAGAGGGAGCCGAGAGCTCAGCGCGGCGAGCCGGGGGAGGAGGAGAACGCTGCTCTCGGCAGAACCAGATAATTAGTGATGGGAAAGGACAGAGGCAGGTGAGGGGCTCAGAGCCGAGGCCACAGCGGCGGGACCCTGCGGGGACCGGGCTGGGCTGTGAGGGGGAGCAGGGAGAGGCCAGGAACGCCCCCACACATCGCCCCGCACCCCCAAACCGTGGGGCAGGGCGAGCGGGGCTGCCGTGGCACCTCCAGGGCGCAGGCAGCCCCTGCCCAGCACCGCTCTGGTCCTACCCAGCGGCGGCAGGGGGGCTTGGCGGAGGCAGGGTTTAGGAAAAAGCCCCTTCTCCACACCCCAGAGAGCCCCTGCCCAGGGGCCGAGCTGCCTCCCGCGGCACGGCGGGGGCACGGCCATCCCCAGGGTCCCTCGGCCACCCCGGCTGCGGGGCGAGCCGGGGGTGCCCCCGCTGCTCCCCCCAGACGCAGACTACGAGTCCCAGCAGGCGTCACGCGGCGGAGAGCCTGGGCAGGGCTGGATCGCTGCTGGCCCCCCGTCCCCCCGGAGCTGGCAGGAGGCAGTGGGAAGAGCTGCTGAGAGGACGCTGACGGAGACACTTTTTTCCCATCCTAAAAATAGCAGCTGGCCGTTTCCCCAGCTTCCCGGCCTCGCCAACGCTCT